CATAATACATTACCAATAAAAAAAATTTAAAATTGGAATTCAAACTTCAGCACTTAAATTTTCAGGCATCTTAAAACGAAAAAATCTGTTTTGTCGAAAGAGGTGATAAGCACCGATTGTACGATAACCTTTCAATACTTATTAGTAGCCCAAGCTAGGGTACAAAATTGCAAAAGTGAGATTGAAAAATACCTTCACAGCAAAACTGCAAAAAAAAAGAGAGCGATTTGCGTAAAAAACTAAAAATATTTTGAAAAAACTGAAATTCAGCTTTAGTTACTGGAAAGTCAGCCTTATCTTTAAAAAGAAATAAACAGTAAAATTGGAAGAAATATTAAGAAAACAAAGCAAGTCTTCAAACAGTTGCCGGATAAAGATTCTAGTGTATAGCAGTTTATTCCTAACTAAGTAATTTTACCAGCCGTTAACCATCAGAGCTCAGTATCCAAGCAGGAAGAAACATTGAACACTACAACTTCTTCTTTCTGAACAAGCAAAAAAAAAAAACTAAATTTATTTCTCAAAAAACCATTGTTTTCTATAAAGAATAAGTTCTTTTTAACGCTCCTTAACAAAAGGCAGATTGTTATTGAAAAGCATGAATTTCTCCTTATTATTTTACTTTGCAGCAAAGACACTTTGACAAAATAAAGTTTTTTTTTTTCCTGGTTCCAGAAAATATCAATCACAGCTTTCAATAAAATAAAAAACGCTGATGTACCACTATGTGTGTTCCAAATTAATTAATTAATTTCTTCTTTAAAAGTTACACGCAAATCTTCAATCAATTCATTTTAATCATCACTATACCAAACCTATAAAAAAAAAAATCCGTATCTCAATTACTAGCAGTTGGCTAAACATGGCTAAACAAATAAACAAATATATAAGCATAATATAATATGTATATGTTACATTATATTCTATGTAACAAAAAAAATTTTAACGATGGAAGAAATAAAAAGTTATTAAAAGTTATTTGGCAATACGCCAAATACTCAAAATAAGTTTGGTTATATTTGCGGAAAAGTAAGAGGCAATTATATCTGGAATTGTGTTGTGCGCGCTGTAAACACCATATTAACAGACTGATCCTTCAACAAAATGATATTAGTTTTTTTTTTTTTTCAGCTTTGTAAAATCTGATGAATTCATAATTTATTCAGCATTGGGATCACATTAAGGAGGTTATTGAAATCGTTACTTTTGGCATCAATAGCCATAATAATTTTAGTTGTTCGTTTGTGTTGTTGTTGTTGATTTCAGAGAAAGTTGACATTTGCCATTTTGTTCTTTTTCATTGATCCAAAATTTTCTTCCAATTTAAGAATTTTTTTTGTTTTTTTTTTGCTATTACTGCATTGTTTTTCTTCCTTTCTTTAAAAATTTTAAGGTGGGTATTCAAAAGAGTTGTTAAAGAAATCTGTTTTTTTTTCATATTATTGTTGTTGCGGAGTTCAACTACCATCATATTCTGCTGCTGCTACTTTGTCTCGTACTTCCCCTTCCTCCTCTGTTCCAATGGAATAGCAATCGTTTTTTTTTTCCTTGTTTTGTAGATGAAGTCAAAGAATGAGGAGAGGTTGGGACAAAAAATTTTGCTTTATACAATTTTTTTCTTTCCTTTTCAATGCAAAATAAGAAAGTTTGGTTGAAACAAAAAAAAAAAAAAATTATAGCTATTCAAGGGAGTGGACAGTTAGTTATCTTATGTGTGGTTAAAAGAAACATAAAATAGTAAATTTTAACGTAGTTTTCTTTTTTTTTTTTTGTATATAATTATTGATGGTTATTTCGTTGTGTGTATTGTTGGACTGTCGTTGCTGTCTCTTTTTTTTTG